AGTGACCGCCCGGGCCGGTCTCGTGCTCCCGCCGCTCGGGAAGTGGCCAAGTCTCCTTAAAAAGATGCATCTGACCCGTGACTCCAGCTGCCTGGAGACGCGGCTTCCAGAAACGCGGCTTTTCCACCCATATCGTCTTCATCGGGGCGGGGCGGAATTCGCCAGCAGCGGCGGGCACCATCCCTCAAAAATCAAAAGCTGTGTTAGGGATAATGGTGGAGCATACAGCTTAGGAGGCTTTCTGCGTGGGTTGGTTCCGTGTGGTGATCGGTCAGATTAGTGAATATACATACACATATTTTAGTTCTCCAAGTTGTTGTTTTTCCTTGCTTATATGTGTGTGAGAGAGACCTTTTGATTTTTTTCTGGAACGTTTTTGGTAGCTACTATCTTTTGAAGAAAATGCATCGGTCCTAATATGGTATTTCTTATGTGTCAAAATAAGCACAGTACCGAGGGCTGTGTTTAAAGCAAAAATGGAAGGAGGATGGGATGGGGGAGGAAGTTTTGTTTTCTTTTTTTTTGGGGGGGTGGAGATTTTTTTTAAGCTTTCAGATGCAACACTTGCAATATGGAATAACTTGAACTGTTGCTTAAGATTTGAGGGGAGTTCTTTTGTCTCAAGAAAATATATAATCTTCACCAGATGGCCAGAGTTCCCCACTAGCAACTTCATAGAATTTCATAGAATTTCTAGGTTGGAAAAGACCTTAGAGATCATCCAGTTCAACCGTCTCTAATCCCCCAAATTTTTTCCCCCAATATTTCATAAAAATATTATATAAATAAGAAAGAGGGCAGGAAAATACAGGCATACCCCCCACATGACCAAGCATATCTATCTTGCGCAGGTTGCTTTGTTTGTTTTTTACGGTGCTCTCTTACGAGTAACTGCAAAATATTCAAACTTAGCATCGGATTTAAAGTGTCCTTTTTTCCTCTAACCGAAACAGGAGGAAGAAATGGAGATGATGACAGAGAAACAGAAGGATACTAAGTATATCTGGAACAATACTCCTGAAAAAAGCGATTATGAGGCTGTAGAAGCCCTGATTTCTATGAGTTGCAACTGGAAATCAGACTTCAAAAAACATGCAGAAATGAGACCTATAACTCCAGCATCTGATATGTCAGAAGAGAGCGACGAGACTTTGCTTCCTGGAGCAGCGGACTTTAATGCGATACCAGCATTTGTAAGTTTTTGAATTTGTATGTGTGTGTGCTTGCTTTTAATGACTGTGTTTTGCTAAGGCACCTTCCCTTACTGTTGTCTCTCTCCCCCACGCAGTGCCTGACTCCTCCCTACAGCCCTTCTGACTTTGAGATGTCACAGGTGGTCCTTCCGGGGGCATCAGCACCCACTGCAGTGCTCGGCAAGTCGCTGGCTGAGGCTGCCAAGCCTCTGGCTGCACCTTGGAGAGAAGCAGAGAGGCGTCCAGCAGCTGGGCCTCTGAAAGCTCAAGCGACGAGTGTTATCCGCCACACGGCCGATGCCCAGCTTTGTAATCGCAAAACCTGCCCGGTGAGAACAGCCAGTGTGTTGAAATACCAGGACAGTGTTTCGAGGGAAACAAACAGTAAACAAAACACCGAAGCAGAGCATTCAGTGTGTTCCACTGTGGTGCCGAGCAGAGCCAGTGATGAGAGCAGTGAACTGCCGGTGGCAGAAGGAAAAAACACAGAACCAGCTGTAAGTCCAGTGCCCTTGGCAAAACCCTCAGTCAGCCGACATCAGCCTGTCCCTGGACCGGCACAGCCATCAGTAGCAGTGGCACCGCCGTGCCCTCCCCAAGGCAGTGGAACGCCCCCAGTGCCAGTGATTTGCCAGATGGTCCCGCTGCCTGCAAACAACAATGTTGTGACGGCTGTAGTGCCCAACGCCACGCCAAACCACCAGCCAGCTCTCTGTCAGCCCATGGTCCTCATGGGCACTCAAGTTCCCAAAGGTGCTGTTATGTTTGTTGTGCCCCAGCCAGTGGTGCAGAGCACAAAGGCTCCTATTATTAGTCCCAATGGCACGAGACTCTCTCCCATTGCCCCTGCTCCCGGCTTCGTACCTTCTGCAGCAAAAACCGCTCCTCCGATTGATTCTTCAAGAATAAGAAGTCACGTTTGCAGCTACCCAGGATGTGGGAAAACGTACTTCAAGAGCTCCCATTTGAAGGCTCACGTCAGGACGCACACAGGTTGGTCACTGTTGCTGGATGTTAAAAATCAACGGAGAAAATTGTGGCTACGTGCACCATTTGTTAAGGTTCTAGCAATTACTAGATTTGTTCATGGAACAAATTGTGGGACAGCAATTAAATCTTTTTGCCAGCACGCGTTATAGTGCTGTCTAACGTCTGACAGGAAATCTCCCACAGGGGAAGTTGACTCAGCAGTTTGTTTGTGCTGGCCTCGCTTCATGTCAGAAGGCGTTCAGTAACGCTTCTTACAAGTGTGGAAGCAAGGCCTTGCCCAACACAGAGTATCCTTTCCTAGAGTTAAAGACACCTTACTAGGCTTCTCTGCAAGAATGCCTTTGTCAGAAGTGGGTAAAACTTAGAGATTATGTTGTGAAAGAATACAAGGATCCACTCCAAACTACTCCTGCCCTGGTTGTGTTAGAGTAACTTCTCCACGCCTCAGCTCTTAATTGCAGTAGCAGAAAGAGTCGCATATGTTTTCACGTAGGCTCACGGTGCACTACCAGAGCTGTTACCTAAAACGCTGTTACAGGTTGCCTTTCAGAGGTTAGTTTCAGGCATGCTGAATCATCATAATCTGCAGTTATGTGGAGCTGAGAGTTAAAATCAGCTGTCTGGAGACATGAAGACCACCTCAAATTATCTGGTTCCAGAGAATTGTTAACCCTTTGTACTACTTAGCCTTTAGGATGGTAAGTCTGTGTGTTTAAATATTGATACATAAACAGGCTTATATCATTTAAAAGCAGATCACAGAATCACAGAATGTTAGGGATTGGAAGGGACCTCAAAGGATCATCTAGTCCAATCCCCCAGTAAACTTTTTCACATTTCATCTATATAAAAATAGTTAATATTTATGTAAGTGGTAGTATTTGTTGCTCATGGTGTTTTTTTCTTTGTGATTTTTATTTTCCTTTTAGGGGAAAAGCCGTTTAGTTGTAGTTGGAAAGGCTGTGAGAGAAGGTTTGCACGCTCTGATGAACTGTCTCGCCATCGCAGAACGCACACTGGGGAGAAGAAGTTTGTCTGCCCGATGTGCGAGCGGCGGTTCATGAGGAGCGACCACTTAACGAAACACGCGCGTCGCCACTTATCGGCTAAGAAGTTGCCAAACTGGCAAATGGAAGTGAGCAAGTTAAACGATATTGCCGTGCCGCCGACATCTACAGCTGCACAGTGAAAGGACTTATTCTGAAGATGGTGGAATTAACTGTTGTCTCTGGGATATGTGAGCTAAAAAAGGCTTTTGCTCCTGGTCCGTGGTTTTCCTGTGCCGGCTGCTGACAGCGGTGCGGCAGAGAGGCAAAGGCAGTCTGTGCTCGGTCACAAAAAACGTTGCTGGGAGAACTGGTGGCTGACTGGAATAGCGGGTGTCTTTTGCACTGGTAAGGAGAGTGAGAAAGGGAAGGTTCCAGAGCAGAGCAGCACACATTGTGCCAGTTTTAAATTTTGCAGATTATTCGTAGGCACTCTAGAGCAGTCGCGTGTGTTACTGAGGGCTTGCTGCCGACGCGTGAGACCAACTCGGATTTTAACATTCGATTGTCCATCTTCAGCACAGCACAGACTAGGAAGAGAGCAGTGTACGGGCACAGGCTTGAAAGCTCAGAATGCACCTGCGTAAGATAATCTAAATCGGTTTTTCTACTTCTGCCAGCTTTTCTTGATAGGAATCTTTTCCTCCTATCCATTCTCCAGCCCTGTCATAAGTGACAATTTGGTGCCGAACTCCTGAAGACTTTAGACCTATCACCCTGCACAGGGGTGTTTAACACACCAAGCTTTATACCGCTGGCCAGAGGGGCTCGGAATGGGCCTTCAGGGGCACCACGTGGGCAGCTGGAGGGTGGGAAAGCTTCTGAATCCTCATTAGCTTTGTAATATTTTCCCAGCTTGTTCGGCAAGCCTTGTGGTGATTACAGTTGGTTGTACCTGGGCATCGTACAGTGCTTCTGCTTTCGTGTTGCTTATGATTTCCTTTACACCTTCCCACAACTCTGTACCACGGTGTTTTTCACAAAGGGATACAGCGCACTTTTAAGAGAAATGTTGTAACTGTAAACTACTCGGGTTGATTAAGGAAGAAAACCAAGAATCTTGGGCTTCTCGATCGTGTTATTCTGTGAACGATGGTTTATTCTAAAAATGAAATGGATATATTATGTATTGTATTAAATTAGAAAGTGGTGATTCAAAAAGTAAAACGAGGCAGTAAAGACTCCGGCCTCGAGTTTGAACTGTAGCTTTTGTGACAAATAATGCATCAACTTTCACTATTTCTATTTTATCATATTATGTTGAGGACGCATATCAGAAAGTGAACAGTTTGAAAATAGTGTATTAGATACGCTTTTTGTGACTACTTTAAAGATTTGCACATTTCTTATGTTGTACTTTATACTTTGTTTACAATAAAACCAATTTTCTTTAATATAGAACTTTTTTTTTTTATTCAGAGAACTTAACCCTTCGCAAGGAAAATAACCTCAACAAAGTACAGTGTCCGTCATTATGTGTCCTGACCAATGAAACACCATCTCTTAACTTTCGATATATTTTTTTTAAGCTGTGTAAGGCCGACAGCAGTGGAATTCCAAGTCAACACTTACTACTCTTGAGTCCATGTTTTGGTGTGTGGGTTTTTTTTTTAACTCCCAACTCTTCATCTCCCCTCCTTTTCTTCAGGCGCCCATAGATAAATGTGCTTATGTAAGCTGTTACAACACACTGGTGAAAAATATTTCCTTTTCGTTGGTGATGGAGCTGCACTGTATTCCCCAGGGTGGAACCCAGCCCCTGTTTCCAATGGCCAGGCCTTCAGGGGGAGAGGGTGGCTGGGGCTGGGATCGGGATCCCCCCACGGCAGTGCCTGGGGCCAGTGGGAACGCAGCACTGGTGCAGGAACCTGGGCTTATCTCACTGTTCTCTGGGGTGGGACTTTCCCTGCCCGCTTCGGCTCCATCCTTAGAGCTGTCTCCTGTAGGAGGGCAGGGAGGTGGGATTTTACCTGCCCGGGGGGCAGCAGGTGGGCAGCACAGTTCCTCAGCCTTCTGCTGCCTCCACCTGTGTGTGGGGGGGTGGCCACTTGGTGCTGCTGAGGGGAGCTCCGCTACCTCCCGCTCTGCCCTGCCTGCAGGGATCCCCAGATTTCACAACCGCGTGGCTGTTGACTCACTGCCCTGCCCTGCGGGGTGTTTGGGGCAGGGGCACTCCTTACCTTACCCTGTTTGACGCAGTGCCCTGCGTAGGAGAAACGTGAGTCATCGCCCTTTCTTCTTGTGCCAGAGGGAATATGCCATCGCAGCCCAACGCAAAACGGATGTTTCCCCAGGAATGTGAGTCCTGCTCCGCCATCTTGCTTCAAGGTATTTCACGTTTTGTGGGCAGAAGGTAAAATAATTCAACAGCTCTGGATACGAAACCCTTCCACATCTGCAACTAGCCATTGGGCTAGGAAGCCAGGTCTCCTTGCCAGCTCTGTCTGGCCCACTGAATCTTGAATACAGTTCTGTTGTACGGTTCCACGTAACGAAGGCATAAAGAAAGTGCCACCCCCATCGTTATCCTGCCCAGCTGTGGCTCTCCTCAGCAGCGTGTGCACTGGGCTTTGAACGCCCTCCAGCTCAGCAGGGAGCTGAACTTAAACCTGAATTCCCAGGGGAGTGCTCTCATGCTGCCACGCAATGAAAGGGGAAGAAAGGGAGTTTCCGTGCCGTGACCATCTCCGCTGCTGGTGTTTTCCGAAGAAAAAGCAGCTGGTGGTGCATTTTGTGTGGCATCCAGCCCTGGAGGTGTGTGCGGGGTGTGCCTTGAGAGCACGCGCTGGCGGCACCGCCGCAGAGGCTGCAGAGGAAAGCCTGTTCCTGGCATTGCTGTGAGCTAAATACAATACAGCTCCTCACTCTAAATACAGAATTCAACAGTCAGAAGTGCACTTCTGACTAGTTCCAGCCGAAGGCAGAGCAGTAATTGTGAATTTACCTCACATGACATTTTTGAAAGCTTAACCATGGAAACCAACTGGAAATTAAACCAGTTGTTCAGGGGTTTAATCCAAGTCTAACCTGAAAAATGTGGTTGAAAGGGTGTTATCAGCCTCCTTTTCAATACTGACTTTATTGTGCAATCAAATTTGGTTGCAGAGTAGCAAACTTAAATTTTATGATTTTTCTACAGATTTCTGTGAATAATTAAGGTTTCCTTACTTGTGTATGTAAACCAAAAACATACCTCATATTTTGTCCTCCTACTTGGGTTTAACGATGAAGCCAAACAGAAACGCAAACCAAAACACGCTCCGCAAAACCCCCATGATCAGCACTTGGATGGGCGCTGGCCACAGTGGGAACCTGCTGGGGCGACCACTGCTCCCGTTAGCTGTGCAGGCAGGGGAGTTCTTCAGGGAACTGACCTGAAGAAGTCCAGGAGATCAGCATATGTTCTTGGAAGCAGATTTTGGAAGTATCCATAAACCCCTCATCTTGCTGCTTAGCGCTGATCTCCAAAGTGATGCACGCATATAAAAATCAACACTGCCATGGTGACATCAATTATGGTTAGTAGGAGTGAGAGATGTTCCCCATCCTGGCGGGCAGGGAAGAGCAGCTGGGGTTTCACAACAAGTTGTCGTGAGGAAGAAGGGAATGAGCCACCGTGCCCAAAGCCAAGCGATATAACCCCATGCTTGGTACGCCTGCCTTGCCGACGGGCGCTGGGGGAGACGAGGGACCGTTTGGGAGGCGGAGGGTGCCTGCCTGCCCTGGGGGTCACACGGGCAGCTCGCTCCTGCCGCAGGAGCAGCAGCAGAGCTAAGCAGGGCTGAGCAGGATGCATTGGGGGGCTGTGGGTCTGGTTATCCCACCCCTTGGCTAAATCGGCACTGATAAGCCATGGGGAACTGTGGTGCAGGGGCACCCCGTACGTGCCCTAAGCATGCCTTTGCCAGTGCTTGGGGGATTTTAAGCTCTTCAGAGAGGATGGAGAGAAGGCTGGAAAAAGCCAGCATTTTCCCTTGTGGTTTGGAGAAAAATAATTTCCATTACAGCAGGAGTATTTGTGGAAGGCTTAGATGTTCTATGAGTGAACTAATATGTATTTTAAAAGAAGAAGGGTCCTGAGCTGGGGCAGCTTGCCTGGAGCCACAGACACGGCTAAGATGAGAACCAGGGCAGCTTGTCTACGCGTCCCGCCTGAAGAGCTTGGCTTTCTGAGGTTTTTCCTCCCAAGCTTTACCATCCAGCAGTGTTATTTCAAGACACCCTTAACCAATTGGTCCTGTGGTCCTGGCAGAGGGTCCGTACAGCCTCGGTGCTAGGGTGGGTGCCATGATGCAGACGTGGCACATGCCTGAGAGCTGAGAGGAATGGCTTTTTCATCAGCTGGCCTCAGACTTGCACACTGCATGCAGAGGCATCAGGTATTCCCCTGGCAGCTCCCCACTTTTACCGTAAACAGATGATTCATTTGTCTGCTTTGGCAACAAACTTAGATCACCAAGGAAACACTTGCGAGCTGTCAGAAAAGTTAGAGCACAAAATTAGGTCAAAAGAAATGATGAATGAACGAACATATGTGTTATGGGCTCAGGCTCCCTGTTGTTCTGTACCACAGATTTTCCACAGAAGTCTTTGCTTCTCCTGAAACGTGGTTGGGGCAGGGTGTGGGTAATATTCATCTGGAACAAATGTTTTTGGAACTGTCCTGGTTTTAGCTGGGACAGAGTTAGCTCTTCTTTTTAGCAGCTAGAAGAGCTCCGTGTTTCAGTTTTACTGAGAGGCTTGCTCTGAGAAGAATGTTGATAGCAAGCTGATGTTTGTAGTTGGCACTGGGGTCTCAAGGACTTTTCAGCTGCCGTGTTCTTGCCAGTGTGCAGGAGCACAACAGGATAGGGGGAAGCATGGCTGGGACGGGGAGTCCACAACTCTCCTTACGATTTGTACCTGGAACTTAAGATTGAGGGCCAAACTGGCCAACTAGTATTCCATATCATGTAGCGCCATGCCCAGTATAAAAGCAAGGGTCAGCCGGAAAGAAGGGCTTTTTGCCCTTCCAGGGCTCTCACTTTCGAACTCTCAGAGTGCTTTCTCTCTGTCTCGGGGCCTCCTGTTCATCCGGGATTGCGGTATCAGGATTTATCTGTTTTGGGATTGCAGCTTTGGGAAGAGACGGGCCTTGGTCAAG